GCTCTGGGGCCACATGGGGGAGGGGTGGTGCCCGTTTGCTCTGGCGGATCCAGGGGTGTCCCCCGGGCCGGGGATGAGCCCCGGCACAGCCCAGGGACAGGAGGCCAAGGGACAAAGCACCAGGTTCGGGACACAGGGACCTGTTTTCCTGTGAAGGCTTTGAGGGCATAGAAGAACCTGGGCCCCACAGGGTGACATGGGGACAGGGCAGCCGAGGGTGGCACAGGGATGGAACACACAGGGTGGCAGAGGGGCACAGGGGACAGAGGAGCTCAGGGGACACTGGTGTGGAGCTGTTCCAGCTGTGACACTCCGGCCCCTTCCCCAGCCTCACCCAGAATTCCCAAACTCGCCCTGGAACCTCCAGTCCTGCCTCTCCCATGGGGACATAAGAGCAGCTCCAGGGAGGGCAGGCAGGGATTTGGGGGAATATGATGGATACGGTGAATTCAGGGTGAACACGGTGGATTTGGGGAGACACCCAGCCAGCAGCGAGGACAAGAGCCTCCCTCCCCTGGGGCTCATGTCAGCATTTCCCATTGCTGCAGCGGGGTGGGACCTGTGGGAGCCAAGTGAGGAGCTCCAGGGCTGGCCCTGGGAATCGGCAGAGCCGGGAGCAGCACGGGGATAAATTTGGCCCGGAGCACCTGGGATAGCTCTGGGACCGAGGATGTGGCTGAGGGAGCTGGGCAGGGCTCAGCCTGGAGGAAAAGAGCCTCAGGGGGAACCTTTTCACTCTCCACAACTCCCTGCCAGGAAGGTGGATCTCCGTTCTCACCATTTCCAGGCCCCTCCTGCTCCCTTCCAACAGCAATTCCAGCTCATGTGTCTCTTTCATAACGAAATAATTTATTTCCTAACAATCAAACAAGACAGAAATATCTATGGACACAGCAAAGATCTCCTAAAACATGGAATTCCTAAAAAAAAGCACCATTCTATTGGCTTGACATGGGATTCGGCCCAACAATGGGATATTTACAGCAGGAACGGCTGGAAATGGGATCCGTGTCCGCTCCCGACTGCCCAACGGAGCCAAAGCTGGGGTGGATCCGCTTCTTGGGAAGCAAAAAAAMCAGAAATAAATGACAGAAAAGCACAAATAAGAGGTGTCCCAAATAATAATAATAAAGGAAAGGTTGAGTGGAGACTGGAGAATGGCTCCGCTGGAAAAAATCAATGATGAAACAAACATTTTGGTGCTTCCCAGGAGCTGGCGGTTTGGGATCTGCCTTCCATAAGGAAAAATAAAGGAAAAACAACCCCAAAATGGGTGTTTCTTATCCCAACCCATCTGTACCCCAATCCGCCTGCCCCCACTCCTTGGATTTTTGTCACAACCTATAAAAATGTCCTTCCTGCAGCTTATTTCATAGGAATGCTGGTGGATCAGTGAATTCCAGGAAAAGGCTGGCACCACCAATGGGTTCCCGGAGATTCCGGGTTAGTGCAGCGTTTTGGGGTTTCTGGAGCACAGCCTGACAGTGCAAAGGGCAGGGAAGAGTCAGTCTGGGACCGGAAGGAAAAAAAGGGGGAAAAGAAAAGGCGTCGGGAACTCAAAAAGGCACAAACCTGCCCAAAACCCTCACTGGTGCTGAGGCCAAATCTTCAGAATGTCCAAAACCAATCAAAAGTCATCGTTTTGTACCTCTGGAGGGGCCTTCCCAATGCTGGGAATCACCTGCCTAGAGGGTTCCACGGGGATTCCCAGGTGAGGGATGGATCTTGGCAAAAGCCACCTGAGCCACCGGCCCCCAAGGGCTGATATTCCACCTTTTTTTTTATGTTTTCTATTTTTTTTTCCTTTTTTCCCCCTCTTTTTGCAGGTGCACGGGGTTGAGCTCAGGTGTCCAYGGTCTGCAGCAATGCTGGAGGGTGGGAAATTCCAGTATCTTTAAAGGAAAATCCCTTCTGGTTTGTTTCTTTTTGTTCTCTTAGGAGCCAGCATGTGGAAAAAGAGCCAGAATCTGGGGAATTTGGGCAACTTGTGGGGCCTGTGGGTGGCTTCCTGCTTCCCCAACTGAGCCAGGAATGGGCTTCAGGTGTGGAAAAGGGGAAAAGGAGAAAGAGGAAAAGGGGAACAGAAAAGGAGAAAATGAAAAGCAGGAAAGGAGGAGAAGAAAAAGGAGGAAGGAAAAAGAAAGGGAAAA